TTAAATATGTCCAATCGTTGTGCTACGATGTTAAGCATTCTAGCTGCACGAACAACCGGTGCGTACTTTAAGATATTTGTACGAGCAACTGGTACGTCCAGCAACCCTCCCCTCAGCCCCCGTCGCAGCCTAGAATTAGGCACGAGGAACCGCATGTAGTGGCGGTGTAAGAATATCCACAACCCCATACTGTCTTGTGTGTCTTAAGAGGCCTTAGGTCTTAAGACCATGGTGGCTAGTAGTGTATTTCTAATACAACTAAAAAATAAACTGCGGCTGCCAACCCACCTACCAAGCGCGACTACCGTGGTAAATATCCCCTCTTAAATCCAATTTATCCGAAGGCCTACGGTCAGCAGATAAAATTAAATGATCCGATTACAATGTTTCTTCATGGCAAGAGTGAATAGGCTTTTGTTCAGTTAAGTCTGTGCGCTTTACCATCTTAGGCTGCATGATCACTTACCACCTGATGGGGTAGTAGCTAAACACTGACTTAGAATAGTTAAAAAAAGATTTAAGCTTTAGTAATACACCTTCTAACACTTATTTGCATGTATGACTTGGAATGTATTTATCATTCAAGGATATTTTATATGATACAGTTTTTGAAATTACGAGTAAATAAGGCTTCCACTTTTATTTGAAATTACCCGAAATTGAATGTGATTTATAGGCAACAACGTTTTTGCCTACTTATCGACCCTTAATTAATGTGTGCGTGCGCAGTAAAATCAAAAATAAATAAAACCGGCCAAGTGCGAAGCGGACTCGCGCACCGAGGGTTCCGAACAAATCCGTAGGTATATAAGTTTAAAATTATTAAAAATATTTTTATTATATGATGTAACTAAAAATTTATTTTTGCAATGTTTCCTTTATCTGTGCTATAATACGTTGCTTCGTACCAAATTTTAAGATTCTGAATTCACGGGAAGTACCCTGTAGGCTTTGATTCCCTTGCGAATGTCGAAAATTTGCGGCATAAACGGATGTATCTTTTGATTGCGTTGGCTTAGAAGTTTGAGTTTTTTCACAGCTCCAAGGCACAGTAGACTTGAGTATTTGATATGAATTTCAGCTTGATACCTCCACGCGTTCCTGAGAAAAAGGGTCTTGACAGACAGACAGTTATTTTTATACGTGGAAAAGCCATGCTGAAGCTATATTAGTAGTATAGTTGTAGCACTAATGGGTCGGCTCGACCTGGGAAGGACCACGCTCTCACAGAATACCAGCGTAAAATAGCAGCTTAACACTGCTGTGTTTTATATGGTGAGTGTAGAGAACCGGAGAGCCATTTTACTGGAAAAGAGGCATTCCATCTTAGTCCTCGCGGGTGACGACGCATCTGCATTTTGATTTTTTATTGAGGATAAATGTAGATGTCTATGGGTCACGCAACCACTTACCATCGGGTGGACTGTGTGCTCGTTTGCTATGGGTCTGTCCTATGTATGTAAACTGTCCCTGCGATGCAGGAGAAAATCCTAGTGTGGAGGTAATGTTTTTTAAAAAGAGAGAAAAGAAAATTAAAAATTTTGTTTAACCGACTTCGATACTAATACGCATTATTAAGGTTAACTACTGATTCAACTATTGATCAAATTTATATGGAATGTATAAATTATAAGCACCAGCTTTCGAATAATAAATAGAATCATCAAAACCGATTCACCTAGAAAAAAGTTCTGAGGTAAACCACTAAACAAAAATACAGTCGAATTGAGTACCTCCTCCTTTTTTTGAAGGTTAAAATGAAAAAGTAGGTAAATTATCTGAGTTTCAAAGACGTTCACGTTGTTATAATCTTAATTTTCCTCGATGTCGCATATTAACCTTGCTCACATTGAATTATTGAACAATAAAGTTTTTATTATCAGCAAATTGATGACTTAGCAATGAGTTGCAACACTAGTGCCGCAGGTTCGAATCCCGCACGGAACAAGTATTTGTATGGCCTACAAGTAATTGTTCCGGGTCTAGATGCTTGTCCTTGTGCAATTTATGTTTGTTAACTGCCTCCACGATACAGGAGAAAATACTAGTGTGAGGGTAATGTATTTTTTAACAGAATAAAAAAATAAAAGATATACCAATACACTGCATAATACCTCGGTTTATTCTACTATATACCAACTAATATCAAAGGATTATATTTGTTTTCTCACAACACCTAACCCTACAGTAGAAGCGGTCTTAACAAAGGCGCATAACGGCCTAAGTAATACAGACACTCGCACTTGGACGTAAGGTGCATTTTGATTTAATACTCTCGCCACATAATTTTTTTCGACAATATTAACGGTAGGCTAATTTCATGAATACCAATTATACGTGGTAGAGCCATGCTGCTATATTAGTAGTATAGTTGTAGCACGCTCTCACAGAATACCAGCGTAAAGTAGCAGCTTAACACTGTTGGGTTGCGAATGGTGAGTGTAGAGAATCGGAGACCCTTTTTACTGTTAAAGAGTTATTCCATCTTAGTCCTCACGGGTGACAACGAATCTGCATTTTGATTCGCAAATGAGGATAAATGTAGATATCTATGGGTCACAGCAAGCACTTACCATCAGGTGAACTGGGTGCTCGTTTGTCACCCTATCCTATAAAAAAACGAAGGTCACTTCCGAGGCGTGCAAAGTATTATAAACATTAACGACGTTGTAAATAAGTTTAAACTCGCAAGTTTGCTATCAAAGAATGATCCTTCTGTTCTTGTACTATTATTTATTATGTGTTAGTACCAGAAAGGTGTTTTATATGATGTGAAGAATGATGATTATAAAAACCGAGGAAAAGTAGCAGAAGCATGGACAGAAATAGTTAGAGAAATGGGGGCCGAAACTGAATTATAAAAAATTTCTTCATCAGTAAACCATTTACAAAACAGTCTATGAAATTCTCCATCTTGTTCCTTATTCTTATTCACTGGGCGCACCCAATGTTTCATTTACCGTTCTGTTGCTGCTAATGTCTACAATATTAATAATTCGTCTTCCGATGAAGAACTATAGTCAAAAAACATGATGACTGTGGTGGCACCGCGTAGACCGTCCAACAGCTAGATTCGTGAGGAACTGAACGTTCGAACGCAGAACGCGAACACCGAACGCTTAAACGCGTGACCGCTTCCTGTCTGATAGAACCCTAAATCATCTACGTTAGCTTGCTACATATTTATTATAATCTGTGATCAACGTTTTATTTTAGCAATTGTTCAATACACGGTGTGTACGAAGCGAATAGCCGTTCGAGGCGGAATGGGAGTTATAGAATCATTTTTGGAATGTAGCCCGTACGTTGTTGATAAATGTGCAATAAACTTTAATTTCCTTATCTGGACAGATGACCGTGACATTTAAATATTGTTTATTATGTTAATATAATCCGTCTATTCGTCCGGGTGTAACAACTAATATTTTTTTTAGAATAGAATAGAATATTTTTACACAATGCTCAATAGATTGTAAATAATTCTTACCGAAATTTTCACTTAGATAACTGGTTCGAAAAAAAAACTTTTGTCCTGGAAGAATCAGCAACAAACTCAGCAAGACTTTTTTGCACATCTAATATATAAAAATTAATGTTTGTTTGTTCGTATTTTATGCGCTAACACACAGTTCATCAGATTGCGGTAAAACTTTGTCAACTTGCTGCTTGCACTTGCTTGTGCTTGCGCGAAGGTTATAGGCCTACAATGTACTATACCAACAATTTCTTTGAAAGTTATATAATATATATCATTCAACTTCAATTAACGTATTATCATTCCTAATTAAACTATATAACGCGTCCAAATTTAAAAAAAATATACCCTCTATCATTTCTTCTGTGGCAACAACGTGCCGTGTACCAGCTTGTTTACAATAAGCAATCTAATTTAAAATTTAAAATTTTATACAACCGATTTTAGAATAAATTATTAAGAATAACTCAAAAACTATTGGTCAGACCTTGATCATATTTATATGGGACCACATGTGAAGCACCAGCTTTCAAATAAAAAAGGAATCATCGAGATCGGTACCTCCACCTGTTTGAAGTCGGTAGAAAAGAAGTTGTACAGTTATTTACAACACTCATATAACAAATAACTCGAAAGCGAACACTTTATTCCCAGCTCTATTGAAACAGAAACAGAAACTTTTTTATTCAATATAGATTATAAATAATACTTATTGAAAGTCACTCTTTTGTTTGATTACCACTGGTTGGGAAAAAACCTCTGTCCTGGGAAGAACCAGCAAGAAACCCAGCGGGACTTTTTTTTAAATAACAGCTTACAATCATGACGTTACACAGATTAACAACACAACAAATTAGAAATAGCTTGGTAGCGATCACCTCATTTCCAGGGGTTATTTTCATCCATAAATTCTTTAATATTATAATAACCCTTTTTATACAAACTTAGTTTAATAAAGTTTTTGAACTTTGAGCAGGTCAAACTTTGTATATTTTCTGGAATATTGTTGTAAAAGCGTATACATCGCCCCAAGAATGAATTACTGACTCGATGGAGTCGAGTAACTGGTACTACTAGCTTGTGTCTGTTCCTAGTATTTACAGAATGAATATCACTTATTTTTGTAAAACTACTTTTATTTTTGTGTACGTACATTACATTTTCATAAATGTATTGAGAGGCCAAAGTTAATATATTAATTTCCTTAAATTTTTGGTTTTTAATTATATACAAAAAGATTGTTCCTATGAAACTCAGTATTTACGATTGTTGTTCGGTGCGTTCAAGCTGTTGTACCAACCACGCATTTATTTGTTTATGAAATATAACTAATTCACTAACTCACTACACTGCACTAGGGTTCTTTGTATTTAATAATATTTTGATGACAAAAAATATTTGGCATTCAATGACGTGATTGCATTCTCTATTAAATTATAATAAGGGTAGCAAACCTGCGGTATTTCACTAGTAAAGCAAACGTCCACTGAGAGTATATAAGTCAGTTGATTTCGTAGGAATCATTGCAGAGCAAAGTAATGTTTGCGAAGATGGCGCTCCGCGGTGTGTTCGCCTTGATCTTTTATCTCGCTATTGCGAGCGCAGACGAGTAAGTAATTATTTTGATAATTTAACTTTAGGCAATGTACTATTTATTCTATCTATTTCTCATATCTATTTTTCAATTGGCATACATTTTTTTTTTTTCATTTTCTTTACTTGTTATGGACTGCCTTGTTGATCTAGTGGTCGTTTACGCGACTTAAAACTCACGTGCTGTTGAAAGCTGCCCTCTTGAAATCGTATTATTATTGTTATGTAATTTAATCGCAATTATTATATTTAAAATTCCGTTTAAGCCACAAAATAAAAATGAATATATGCATTTCGTGAAATGACTTATTCCCGTGAATATTAGGTAACTGAAAGGTACAAATTAGATAATATTCATGGGACAGAACTATATTTATGGATTTTATCATGTCTAATTTACTGTTCCCACAGCTTAGTTAATTTTTGGCGAGGTTTTATTTACGCGAACAAATATTTTGTTTTTATATCTTTGATTTCATTATTCTAAATTTAGACAAAGTTTTATTGCGAACGACTATTATTCAGTTGATATATCATTTTGGTTATGGACTTGTGACCGTTACCATTATCGTCATAACCTTTTAAAGTCCACTGCTGAGCAAAATTAAGACGGCTAAGAATAAAATTAAAATAATGTGGAGTATAAATAACAGTGAAACCGGTACCCGGAATTGACTAAATCACATCAAGAAGTCGCAGCAGTGTTTGAGAAATATATCACTGATATTCCTATCTTGACAACAGTCATTTTTTTTACTTATTATAAGCCAGTGCTTGACCACAATCCCACCTAGTGGTAAGTGGTGATGCAGCCTTAGATGGTAAATTGCACTGTCTTATCGTAACAAAAGCCTGTTCACTCTTGAATTCAAAATTGAATACTTCTCCAACTGTCGCCGTGTCATTACTCAAACAGAATGTTAATACCTGTTTAAAAAAATTTAGATTTGAAAAAGTATTACCGTAGTGATTATATTCTCTTTGAGTATTACCGCAAGAGTTATTCCTCTTCACCCCGGACCTCGGTTGCGAGTAGACGTGTCTAAAACTACGTTACTGTGTTATTTCAAAATATTTTTAAATCCAATTTTTGCAAATAAATCAAGTTCAAAAAATAGGAGATCATAAATACTCAAGAGGTAGTGCAAGTTGCCTAAACAGTGGGTGTTGAGTGAAGTGTACCGAGCATGCAATCCGTGTGTGCGTAAAATTTTGTCTTGACAGTGCATAAGTGTGCGTACAAACCGTACGTATGCACGAATTTTGACTTCTACGAACTCATGTGATTCTGGTACTTTTTGCTAATATTGGTCGCGAAAGATTTGACACTTGTGTAGATCAGGTGTTCGTTGCAAACAGGTTTTTAAGGACATTAGTAACTTCTGAATGCTTATGAAATTCTGGTAGTAGTTACTTGTTTTCACTGATTTCATTGACACATTAGAATCTTCTTAGTAGTTAGGTATCGAGAAAATTTTAAAAAATAATAACAAGTTACCTGCCTTAAATTTATGGGATTCTAGTACATCCAGCAAAACCTTATTAAAATTTGATATCTGACATCCTTCAACTACACTAGCTAACTTCTAATTTAAGCCTCTTTGAATGCTATGGTACCCTGGTATATCCACCACTAAAAGTGTAAAATATGGATAAGTCACTTTCCGAGACAAATCTTTAAATAATTAGAGGGTAACTCCAAAATACATACTTCACCATATTTTAAAACATCTGAACGGCAAAGAGGTAATAAAAGAAAGAAGGACAGTGAAAACGCTTCTCCGCAATCCAAGACAGAAACTTTGGTTTGTGATTTCGTGAAATTATTGTTTACGGAACAACAGGAGGAACTTAAAAAGATTAATCTTACCCTTACTTGTATACAAGAAACAAATGCTAAAATTGATAATTGGATCGAATTCTTTAGTCAGCAAAATGAAGAGTTCAAGAAGAATATATCTACTTTAGAATTACAGTCTCAGGAAGATAGAGCTTATATTGAGATTCTGGAAAATAAAATAGACAATCTGCAGAAGGAACACAGGAAAGCTAATTTTGAAATTAAAAATGTACCGAAAAAAGAATTTGAAAATAAATCAGATCTTATAAATATGGTAAAGATGTTGTCTAAAAACGGTTCAGATTTGACTACGTCCGATGTAAAGGACATCTATAGAGTGCGCGGAAAAAAAGGAAAGTCTCCAAATACACCTATTGTTGTAGAAACAACATCATCCCTTCAGAAAATGGATCTGCTCAAAAATGCAAGAATTTTAATAATATGAACAAATCTAAGCTCCGTGCGAAACATCCTGGTATGACTACCTCTGAGGAGACCCCAATATTTGTATCTGAGCAATTAACTGCTAAAGCTGCCAGACTCTATTTTATTGCCAGGGATTTAATTAAATCTACGGATTATAAATATTGCTTGGTTTCTGTTATGGTTTTTTGGTTTATGATTTTTTTTATTTTATTACGCTGTACGCTGCGTTGGGAGGCAAATTCGCGTTTTTGGTTAGGCGTTATTACGATTTCAATTTTAATTGATGTTCTTACACTTACATTCACTCTCATACTACACACACAATACACAAAATCAATTATACATTTCCCAAGTTTACAATGGCGTAGAGATAATGGCAAAATATCTATAATTACTAAATTTTATGAAATATTTAGCACAATGACCGTTCCGTTTTACTCTCAAATATTCAATTTTATATTACCTCCTCGATCATTTCAATCTTTCTATTTATACTAAATTAAATGGTTACTTCTTTGCAAACACTAAATGACATAGATTGTGCTAAAATTGCTGACTCCATACAATGCAATATCCAGGACTTAGGTAAACACATTAAAATTAATAAATCAGATCTTACTATCTTTACGCAAAATATAAGAAGCTTGAATTGTAATTTTGATGATCTTTTGGTAACTATTGCGCAGCTAGAATTTGATCCTGATGTATTGGTCCTAACAGAGTGTCATCTAGATAAAAGCAAAGCTATTCCTATTCTTCCAAACAATACTCATCTTGCAACAACACATCATATTAATCAAAATGATGGTGTAGTGATATATACAAAATCCTTATTAAAAGCTAACATTACAGAAATTGTATTAAAAGGGGCGTCATGCTTACAAGTAAATATTTTTAACCATGTTGTACTTGGTATATATCGCTCTCCATCCAATAGTAACGCGTCAAATTTTATAGATTCTCTAATTATTTAGAGAATTTGTCAACTATAAATTCTGCTAATGTTACTATCACACGTGACATAAATATAAATATAATTTCTAAATCTAAAGAAAAATTATATGAATGCAATAACAGAATAAATTATTTGTACATGTTGTCTACACACGGTTTATTAAATGGACATAATTTTCCTACTCGTGAAAATAGTTGCCTAGATCATATAATTATAAAATTGAATGGATCTAAAGTGTCAGAATTTATAGCAATTATTAACACAATTACTGATCATCTAAATCTATTACTTTTTTTTTAAATGCACATAGTTAATACATTTCAGTTTTATATAGCTTACCTTTGTTTTTATAGTTTTCTTTCTTTTTATGTTCAAATATTTAAAGCATTAAGCAATTCTGTTATTGTTGTTTTGTGTAATACAATGTGTCTGATGAGGTGTATAAAATAGCGCTTAATGAACTATGGTCTCAGGTTTCCTCGATACAGGCTTGCCTGGTGAGGAAACCAACAGATATTACCCATTGTATTATTTTTCTTACTGCTAATAAAACATTTTTCATTTTCATTTTCATTTATTACTAATCCTATCAAAAAGTAAACATAAATCTATACAGACTAAAACTAAATTAATATTAGATTACGAGAAAGCCTACAATGTTTTGCTTGAAAGAAACTTATCTCAATATTTAATGTTATTAGGAAGAGCGGTGCCTCCTGATACAGGTATTCTTCTATACTTACTAAGAGGCTCCAATTACTTTATTATTTAGTATGCCTTGAGAAATAAATAAATGGATTTTTAATTTTTTTTTAAATATTGAAAAGGAAAGAAAACCGCAGATTTGCGTCATAATAAATTTAATTGCTAATTTAATTGTTTTTAATACTTATATCGATTCTGGTGTGTTTAATGATTTAATGAAAAATAGTAACGTAATACCTTTATTTAAATCTGGTAATACATTGAACCACGATAATTTTAGACCTATTTCTGTACTACGAACACTGAATAAAATTTTTGAAAAAATAATTTTGGATTAATTGTTACAAATAAATTACTTCATAAAAAGCAATTTGGTTTTACAAGGGGTCGCTCAACGTCTGACGCGGGTGAATTTACAAGATGCCTTTGGTATTTTTGTGATCTTTACAAGGCTTTCGATTGTGTTCATCATGAGACATTAATCAGGAAACTACAACATTACGATGTAAAAACTTTGACGCTTAAACTTATTACTTCATATTCATATAACAGAATTCAAAAAGTTTATCAATGATAAAGGTTCCTCCGGATCAGTAATATCAATGGGCGTTCCTCAGGGCTCGATTCTTGGCCCATATATGTTCTTAATATATATTATTGACTTACCTTATCTGGTAGTGGAAAATTACGACATAGTATTATTTGCTGATGATATAATTTTGACAATTTAAATAATGCTCTATCGAAATGAGTACATTGGTTTAACGCCAACAATTTGCTCAATAAGATAAAATGTATTAAATGTACAATAGCTAATGTTAAACATTCAAATACTAATGTGCTCTTAAATGGGGAGGAGTTGAGTCTTGTGGATACCACTGTTTGTCTTGGTAATACTACTGACACGAAACTTCAATAGGGCCCCTATATATCTAAATTAGCAAGCAGACCTAGCTCTGCAGCATATGCTGTAAGAAAGATTAGAAGCCTCACAGATGTTGAGACAGCTAGATTAGTTTATTTTAGTTACTTTCATAGCGTAATGTCTTATGAAATTTTGCTATGGAGTAATGCGACTGACATTGAAGCC